GATCCCGCGTCTGCGTAGCCGTACTAGAGCCCCCGACCGTTTACCCCTTGGGCGGCGTTTCGTTGCTTGAGCAAAGCCTAGCGCGGCATTGACTAGAATGCCTACTAATTCTGCCGCTGGAAGCAGAAAAGTAGGAATTAAATCCACAGGAGTTGTTTCCCTGATATTTAAAAGTTCGTCTCTTGTTAGAGAACTCCGAAAATCTTGGCAAAACACTGAATTGACAGACAAAACAAGACAAAACAGGGCGCACCGACCGGCTGAGGCTACCATCATCAGCGCCATCTTCGCACCAGCACGGGTGTGCTGAACAGCAGGACTCCCTCACCAGCACTGGTGTGTTGAACAGTAGGCCCCTCTCACTAGCATGGCAGTGGTGAACAGCAGGCCCCTCTCACCAACACGGGTGTGATGAACAGTAGGCCTCTCTCACCAGCATGGGAGTGAACAGCAGGCCCCTCTCACCAACACGGGGGTGATGAACAGCACGCCCCTCACACCAGCACGGGTGTGATGAATAGTAGGCCTCTCTCACCAGCACCGGTGTGATGAACAGCAGGCCCCTCTCACCAGCACGGGTGTGTTGAACAGCAGGCCCATGAAGTCTATGGGAGACTTTAACATTGAGGTATGTGGGAGACTTTAACATTGAAGTCTATGGGAGACTTTAACATTTAAGTCTAAGGGAGACTTTAATATTGGAGTCTACGGGAGACTTTAACATTGGATTCTATGGGAGTCACTAACATTGAAGTCTATTGGGAGATTTTAACATTTAAGTCTTTTGGAGACTTTAACTTTGAAGTCTATGGGAGACTTTAACATTGAGGTATGTGGCAGACTTTAACATTGAAGTCTATGGGAGACTTCAACATTGAAGTCTATGGGAGACTTCAACATTGAAGTCTATGGGAGCCTTTAACATTGAAGTCTATGGGGAGACTTTAACATTGGAGTCTATGGGAGACTTTAACATTGAAGCCTATGGGAGCCTCTAACATTGAAGTCTATGGGAGACTTTAACATTGAAGTCTATGGGAGACTTTAACTTTAAAGTCTGTGGGAGACTTTAACATTGAAGTCTGTGGGAGACTTTAACATTGAAGTCTGTGGGAGACTTTAACATTGGAGTCTATGGGAGTCTCTAACATTGAAGTCTATGGGAGACTTTAACATTGAAGTCTATGGGGTGACTTTAACATTGGAGTCTATGGGGAGACTTTAACATTGAAGTCTATGAGAGACTTTAAAATTGAAGTCTATGGGAGACTTTAACATTGAAGTCTGTGGGAGACTTTAACATTGAAGTCTGTGGGAGACTTTAACATTGAAGTCTGTGGGAGACTTTAACATTGGAGTCTATGGGAGTCTCTAACATTGAAGTCTATGGGAGACTTTAACATTGAAGTCTATGGGGTGACTTTAACATTGGAGTCTATGGGGAGACTTTAACATTGAAGTCTGTGGGAGACTTTAACATTGAAGTCTATGGGAGACTTTAACATTTGAAGTCTATGGGAAGACTTTAACATTGAAGTCTGTGGGAGACTTTAACATTGAAGTCTATGGGAGACTTTAACAATGAAGTCTATGGGAGACTTTAACATTGGAGTCTATGGGGAGACTTTAACATTGGAGTCTATGGGGAGACTTTAACTTTGGAGTCTATGGGAGCCTCTGACATTGAGGTTGCGTGGATTATTTTTGCTGCTATGGGCGTCCACGCGATGTCGGCCAGGGCCGCTTCTCAGAAACGAAGTGAAACGGCTCAGTGACAAAGAGCTCTACGGATCTTCGGATTCACCTTCACGATTCTGCTTTAGTTAAATCCTACCGTCGGAATCGATTACTTTGTTTACGTTAACTTAACATCAGCGTGGGAACCGACGAACGACCGAATCGATTATCTTTGTTACGTTCACTTAACACAGGGTTACGAATCGCCGATTATACGAATCGATTAATTTTTTACCTCAGCTTAACATTGGTTGGAATCGAATAATAAATCAGTAACATTTGGAATCGAATGGTCAGTCACACCCCCTCATACGCAGCAGCTGCAATCGACGGTGACGTCACCGCATCCGGTGTCCGTCGAAGAATCGAAAATACCCGGTCGAGAATCGATAACGGCGGGGGTCGATTCCCCGCACACTTCACGTTAGAGGCAAGTGGTGGGCGGGGTGGTTGGCGGTGAAATCGAGAACGCAGTCAAATCGATCGATTCCGATTCTCTCTCAACGTTACTCTTAGGGTGAGGGGAAGGAATCGACAGCGGTGAGAATCGACCGCAACGACCGTACACCGTGCGAATCGATTCACGGCCCACTCTGTTCAAGTCTTCTCAAAACAAGCGCCTTAGGGGCTTGGTCGACGTTTCGCTACCACCACCCCCTTCCCCAACGCCACCCACCCACCACCACTGAGATTTCAAAGTAACGCAAATAAAAAAAATAAACTCCCGTTGGAAGGACGCGGCTGAGGCGGTGGCGGTGGTCGTGGCTGGACGGCAGGGCAAACTCAGGCAAGCCGCAGGCTTCAACTTCCACGGCGGAGTTCCCTCAGACAAGGCCGCAGGTTTTTATTTCTTAATTAATTTATTATAATTTTTCTTTTTGGAGACGTTATTCTTCGTCCTTTTTTTTGTATTATAATAACTTATAGTAAGTTGTTAATGTTTAATTGACAATCGACTCATTGTTTACCCCAACACCCCTAAGACTGCTGTGCCAGGCTAGGTGTAGGTCACGGGACAGACCCAGCAGGTGACATGGGGTTGTACTGGCTGTGCCAGGCTAGGTGCACCAGGAGGAGGTCACGTGACAGACCTAGGTGACATGGGTTGTGCTGGCTGTGCCAGGCTAGGTGCACCAGGAGGAGGTCACGTGACAGACCTAGGTGCCATGGGTTGTACTGCTGTGCCAGGCTAGGTGCACCAGGAGGAGGTCACGTGACAGACCCAGCAGGTGCCATGGGGTGTACTGCTGTGCCAGGCTAGGTGCACCAGGAGGAGGTCACGTGACAGACCTAGGTGACATGGGTTGTACTGCTGTGCCAGGCTAGGTGCACCAGGAGGTCACGTGACAGACCCAGCAGGTGACATGGGTTGTACTGGCTGTGCCAGGCTAGGTGCACCAGGAGGAGGTCACGTGACAGACCTAGGTGACATGGGTTGTACTGCTGTGCCAGGCTAGGTGCACCAGGAGGATGTCACGTGACAGACCTAGGTGCCATGGGTTGTACCGCTGTGCCAGGCTAGGTGCAGGTGGTGGTCACGTGACAGACCCAGCAGGTGCCATGGGTTGTGCCGCTGTGCCAGGCTAGGTGCACCAGGAGGATGTCACGTGACAGACCTAGGTGCCATGGGTTGTACTGGCTGTGCCAGGCTAGGTGCACTAGGAGGAGGTCACGTGACAGACCTAGGTGACATGGGTTGTACTGCTGTGCCAGGCTAGGTGCACTAGGACGAGGTCACGTGACAGACCTAGGTGCCATGGGTTGTACTGGCTGTGCCAGGCTAGGTGCACCAGGAGGAGGTCACGTGACAGACCCAGCAGGTGCCATAGGTTGTACTGCTGTGCCAGGCTAGGTGCAGGTGGTGGTCACGTGACAGACCCAGCAGGTTGTACTGCTGTGCCAGGCTAGGTGCAGGGCACGGGACAGACCCAGCAGGTGCCATGGGGTGTGCTGCTGTGCCAGGCTAGGTGCACCAGCAGGAGGTCACGTGACAGACCAAGCAGGTGCCATGGGGTGTGCTGCTGTGCCAGGCTAGGTGCAGGTCACGGGACAGTCCTGTATAACGTAGTGTATAGCAGCGCGAGAATGCACCGCATCTGCCCCCTGCTTTGACACACACACGGCGCACACACACATACACACGGCGCACACACACACACGCGCACACACACACACGGCGCACACACACACACACACACACGCACAAACACACACACACACACAAACACGCACACACACACGCACACACACACACACACGGCGCACACACACACACGCACACGTACACACACGCACACACACACGCACGCACACACACACGCACACACACACACACGGCGCACACACACACACACACGCACACACACACGCGCACACACAAACACACACACACGCACATACGCACACACACACACACGCGCACAAACACATCAATGCGTGTGTGTTGAACTTCTTTCGCACCGTGCGTAGCCGAGGGTGCTAATCCCAGACGCTCGGAGGGAGAGAGAGACGGAGAGAGAGACGGAGAGAGACCCCTTGAAGAGACACCACAGCAGAGAGACACCAGCGGAGACAGACACCACAGCAGAGAGACACCAGCGGAGAGAGACACCAGCGGAGAGAGACACCACAGCAGAGAGACACCAGCGGAGACAGACGCCAGCGGAGAGAGACACCAGCGGAGAGAGACACCAGCGGAGAGAGACACCAGCGGAGAGAGACACCACAGCAGAGAGACACCAGCGGAGAGAGACACCAGCGGAGAGAGACACCAGCGGAGAGAGACACCAGCGGAGAGAGACACCAGCGGAGAGAGACACCAGCGGAGAGAGACACCAGCGGAGAGAGACACCAGCGGAGAGAGACACCAGCGGAGAGAGACGCCAGCGGAGAGAGACACCAGCGGAGAGAGACACCAGCGGAGAGAGACACCAGCGGAGAGAGACACCAGCGGAGAGAGACACCAGCGGAGACAGACACCAGCGGAGAGAGACACCAGCGAAGAGAGACACCAGCGGAGAGAGACACCAGCGGAGAGAGACACCACAGCAGAGAGACACCAGCGGAGAGAGACACCAGCAGAGAGAGACACCAGCGGAGAGAGACACCTCAGCAGAGAGAGACACCAGCGGAGAGAGACACCAGCGGAGAGAGACACCACAGCAGAGAGATACACCAGCGGAGACAGACACCAGCGGAGAGAGACACCAGCGGAGAGAGACACCAGCGGAGAGAGACACCAGCGGAGAGAGACACCAGCGGAGAGAGACACCAGCGGAGAGAGACACCAGCGGAGAGAGACACCAGCGGAGAGATACACCAGCGGAGACAGACACCAGCGGAGAGAGACACCAGCGGAGAGAGACACCAGCGGAGAGAGACACCAGCGGAGAGAGACACCAGCGGAGAAATGATCTCGTCGGCTTTGGCGGTGGCCGAGGCTTCCGAGCAGACGGCAGCGAGGAGAGCACGAGTCAAGGTTCTCGATGAGGACAAATATGTAGCGGTGAGTTCCACTTACACCTCACTGTGCCTGCACTGTGCACTGCTTTGCACTGCTGTGCACTACGCTATGCACTGCAATGTACACTGCACTACTATACACTACACTATAGACTACATTACTATACACAACACTACTATACACTACACTATAGACTACATTACTATACACTACACTACTATACACTACTATACACTACACTACTATACACTATACACTACACTACTATATACTACACTACTATAAACTACACTACTATACACTACACTATACACTACATTACTATACACTACACTACTATACACTACTATACACTACACTACTATACACTATACACTACACTACTATATACTACACTACTATAAACTACACTACTATACACTACACTACTATACACTACACTACTATACACTACACTGTACACTACACTATACACTACTATACACTATACTACTATCCACTACACTATACACTATTTTACACTACACTATACACTACACTATTATACACTACACTACTATACACTACACTATACACTAGACTTCTATACACTACACTACTATACAATACACTACTATACACTACACTACTATACACTACACTATACACTACTATACACTACTATACACTACACTATACACTACTATACACTACACTACTATACACTACACTATACACTACTATACACCACACTATACACCACACTATACACTACTATACACTACACTATACACTACACTACTATACACTACACTACTATACACTAAACTACTATACACTACTGTACACTACACTATACACTACACTATACACTTCACTACTATACACCACTACTATACACTACACTATACACTACTATACACTATGCACTACTATACATTACACCATACACTACACTATACACTACACTACTATACACTACACTACTATACACTACTATACACTACACTATACACTACACTACTATACACTACACTATACACTAGACTTCTATACACTACACTACTATACACTACACTACTATACACTACTATACACTACACTACTATACACTACAATATACACTACTATACACTACTATACACTACACTATACACTACTATACACTACACTACTATACACTACACTATACACTACTATACACCACACTATACACCACACTATACACTACACTACTATACACTACACTACTATACACTACACTACTATACACTACACTACTATACACCACACTATACACTACACCATACACTACACTACTATACACTACACTATACACTACACACTACACTACTATACACTACACTACTATACACTACACTACTATACACTACACTATACACTACACTACTATACACTACACTACTATACACTACACTACTATACACTACACTATACACTACACTACTATACACTACACTACTATACACTACACTACTATACACTACACCATACACTACACCATACACTACACTATACACTACACTATACACTACACTACTATACACTACACTACTGTACACTATATACTACACTACTATACACTACACTATACACTACACTACTATACACTATACACTACACTACTATACACTACACTATACACTACACTACTATACACTACACTATACACTACACTACTATACACTACACTATACACTACACTATACACTACGCTACTATACACTACACTACTATACACTACACTATACACTACACTACTATACACTACGCTACTATACACTACACTATACACTACACTACTATACACTACACTATACACTACACTATACACTACACTACTATACACTACACTATACACTACACTACTATACACTACACTACTATACACTACACTATACACTACACTACTATACACTACACCATACACTACACTATACACTACACTATACACTACACTATACACTACACTACTATACACTACACGACTATACACTACACTACTATACACTACACTACTATACACTACACTACTATACACTACACCATACACTACACTATACACTACGCTACTATACACTACACTATACACTACGCTGCTATACACTACACTATACACTACACTACTATACACTACACTATACACTACTACTATACACTACACTATACACTACACTACTATACACTACACTATACACTACACTACTATACACTACACTATACACTACACTACTATACACTACACTATACACTACGCTGCTATACACTACACTACTATACACTACACCACACACTACACTATACACTACGCTACTATAAACTACACTATACACTACACTACTATACACTACACTATACACTACTACTATAAACTACACTATACACTACTACTATACACTACACTATACACTACACTACTATACACTACACTATACACTACACTACTATACACTACACTATACACTACTACACTATACACTACTATACACCACACTATACACTACACTATACACTACAATAAATTACACTATACACTACTATACACTACACTATACACTACACTATACACTACGCTGCTATACACTACACTACTATACACTACACTATACACTACACTACTATACACTACTCTATACACTACACTACTATACACTACACTATACACTACACTATACACTACTACTATACACTACACTATACACTACTACACTAGACACGAGTATCGTGGCGGGTCCGTGGCCTCTTGGGAACCGGGCCTCACAACAACAGCAGCAGCAGCAGAGCTGTGAGTCTGCACAGGGCCCGCCCACTTTCCGTCCACGCACCCTTCCCCCCCCCCACACTGCTCACTCAGCCTCAGTCTCAGCCCTAGTTGAGATCTGCCCTCTCCCTACCCCACCCCCCTCGGGCAGAGCGTGGAGGCGATCATTGTCCGTGACTTCTTCCCGGACGTGGAGAAGCTCCGGGCGCAGAAGGAGTACCTGGAGGCGGAGGAGATGGGGGACCTGCAGCTGATGAGACACATCGCCCTCAAGTACACCCAGCAGCAGCAGCAGCAGGGGCAGCAGGGGCAGGGGGTGGCACGGGAGACGCGCGGGGACACGGACAGGCAGCCTCGTGAGACACGCAGACGCACACAGAGAGAGAGACGCACACACACAGACACACACACACACAGAGACGCACACACACAGACACACACACAGAGACACACACACACAGAGACACAGAGACACAGAGACACGCACACAGACACAGAGACACACACAGAGACACACACACACAGAGACACAGAGACACACACAGACAGAGACACACGCACAGACACAGAGACACGCACAGACAGAGATACACACACACAGAGACACACACACACAGAGACACAGAGACACACACAGACAGAGACACACACAGACACACACACAGACACACACACAGACACACACACACAGAGACACACACACACACACACAGACACACACACAGAGACACACACACACACACAGAGACACACACACACACGCACAGAGACACAGAGACACAGACAGAGACACACACACACAGAGACACAGAGACACACACACACAGAGACACACACACACACACACAGACACACACACAGAGACACAGAGACACACACAGACACACACACATACACACATACACACACAGACACACACTCACAGACACGCACACGCACACATACACACACATACACACACACGTACACACACAGACACACACACATACAGACACACACAGACACACACATACACACACACATCCACATACACACACATACACACATACACACACACATACACACACATACACACACACATCCACATACAACAACAACAACCGCCATTCGCCACTAAGTGGCGGTGACGTCACTACGACGCTTGTGCCAGGCTATGTGCACCCTGAGGCCACGTGAAGTGTCGAACGCCCGCTGGCAGGAGGTCACTGGGCAGACCCAGGTGCCACGGGTCGACTGACTGAGATGACTGGCTGATGCACCACCTGTGCCCCCTACTGTGCCAACCTGCTGTGCTTTAGCCACCCGGCACTCCGCTCGCTGTTGTGAGCGTCGCTCCTCCGCCCTCCGTTGTTGTTGGAGGGCGACTGCCTCCAACTGCCCAGTAGCAGCATCCTTCACGAGCCTCCTCCACAGAGGCCGATCTTGACACCGCTGGTACCAGTCTTCGGCAAGTCCACTCAGCTCCACGTCCTCCTGTACCACATCACTCCATCTCCTCTCTAGCCCGTGCCGCGCCCGCTTAGCCCCCTCAATCCGGCCAACCAAAAGCTGTTTCGGCATGCGGTGGCTGGGCATGCGGGCTACATGACCCAGCCATCGCAGCCTTGCCTGCCGGAGGAGCTCACCGATGGGACCCTGCCCAGATCTTTCAAGGATTTGTGAGCTCCTCACACAATCCAGTCTGGTTAAACCCACACATACACACACACAGACACACACATACACAGACACATACACACACACAGACACACACACATACACACACATACACACGTTGATTGTAAGTCCCTGCTGCCTTTGTCTCCAATAACTCTCTCCCATGCCTCCCTCTCGCTCCCTCCCGTGTCTCTCTCCCCGTGCCTCTCCCCGTCTCCCTCCCCGTGTCTCCCTCCCCGTGTCTCCCTCCCCGTGTCTCCCACCTGTGTCTCTCTCCCTCCCTCCCCGTGTCTCCCTCCCTGTATCTCCCTCCCGTGTCTCCCTCCTTGTGTCTCCCTCCCCGTGTCTCCCTCCCTGTGTCTCCCTCCCTGTGTCTCCCTCCCCGTGTCTCCCTCCCCGTGTCTCCCTCCCTTCCTCCCCGTGTCTCCCTCCCCGTGTCTCTCTCCCTCCCTCCCCGTGTCTCCCTCCCTGTGTCTCCCTCCCGTGTCTCCCTCCCTTTGTCTCCCTCCCTGTGTCGCTCTCCCCGTGTCTCCCTCCCGTGTCTCCCTCCCGTGTCTCCCTCTCGCTCCCTCCCCGTGTCTCTCTCCCCGTGTCTCTCTCCCCATGTCTCCCTCCCCGTGTCTCCCTCCCTCTCGCTCCCTCCCTGTGTCTCCCTCCCCGTGTCTCCCTCTCGCTCTCTCCCCATGTCTCCCTCCCCGTGTCTCCCTCCCTGTGTCTCCCTCCCCGTGTCTCTCTCCCCGTGTCTCTCTCCCTGTATCTCCCTCCCTCCCTCCCCCCCTCCCCATTCCTCACCCCTCTCTCCCTGTGTCTCCTCTCCCCCTCCCTCCCTCCCCCCCTCTCCGTGTCTCCCTCCCCGTGTCTCCCTCCCCGTGTCTCTCTCCCTCCCTCCCCATGTCTCCCTCCCTCTCGCTCTCTCCCCATGTCTCCCTCCCTGTGTCTCTCTCCCCGTGTCTCCCTCCCGTGTCTCTCTCCCTCCCTCCCCATGTCTCCCTCCCGTGTCTCCCTCCCTCTCGCTCTCTCCCCATGTCTCCCTCCCTCCCCATGTCTCCCTCCCTGTGTCTCTCGCCCCGTGTCTCCCTTCCGTGTCTACCTCCCTGTGTCTCTTTCCCCGTGTCTCCCTCCCCGTGTCTCCCTCCCTGTGTCTCTCTCCCCGTGTCTCTCTCCCCGTGTCTCCCTCCCCGTGTCTCCCTCCCTGTGTCTCTCTCCCCGTGTCTCTCTCCCCGTGTCTCCCTCCCCGTGTCTCCCTCCCCGTATCTCCCTCCCTGTGTCTCCCTCCCCGTGTCTCTCTCCCCATGTCTCCCTCCCTGTGTCTCCCTCCCTCCCTTGTCTCCCTCCCTCTCGCTCTCTCCCCGTGTCTCCCTCCCCGTGTCTCCCTCCCTGTGTCTCTCTCCCCGTGTCTCTCTCCCCGTGTCTCCCTCCCCGTGTCTCCGTCCCTGTATCTCCCTCCCGTGTCTCCCTCCCCATGTCTCCCTCCCTTTGTCTCTCTCCCCGTGTCTCCCTCCCTCCCTCCCTCCCCGTGTCTCCCTCTCTCCCTCCCTCTCCCTCCCCGTGTCTCCCTCCCTGTGTCTCCCTCCCCGTGTCTCCCTCCCCGTGTCTCCCTCCCCTGTCCGTGTCTCCCCCCCTGTGTCTCCCTCCCTGTATCTCCCCCCCTGTGTCTCTCTCCCTCTCGCTCTCTCCCCGTGTCTCCCTTCCTCCCCGTGTCTCCCTCCCCTGTCCGTGTCTCCCTCCCTGTGTCTCCCTCCCCGTGTCTCCCTCCCTCCCTCCCCCCCTCCCCATTCCTCCCCCCTCTCTCCCCGTGTCTCTCCCCCCCCCTCTCCCCCCCTCTCCCCCCCCCCCTCCCCCCCCCGTGTCGTCATCTCCACAGCGGTGACTCCGGCCTCCTTTGAGACTCCGGAGCCGGGCAGCCGAATCCGAACCCCCAGGGGAAGGGAGGAGATGAGGCGTGGAGGTGCAGGTGAGACCCTCGCACAGACAAAGCTGCCCCAGGTAGCCTCTAGCAGGGCTGTAGGGGCAAGTGCTGTTAGTAATAGCGAGTAGCAGCAGCAGTGTCTATGTACTACACACACCACACACACAGACAAAGCTACCCCAGGTAGCCTCTAGCAGGGCTGTAGGGGCAAGTGCTGTTAGTAGTAGCGAGTAGCAGCACCTACACACAGACAAAGATCCCCCGTGTAGCCTCTAGCAGGCTGTAGGGGCAAGTGCTGTCAGTAGCAGCACCTACACACAGACAAAGCTCCCCCGTGTAGCCTCTAGCAGGCTGTAGGGGCAAGTGCTGTCAGTAGCGAGTAGCAGCACCTACACACAGACAAAGCTCTCCCAGGTAGCCTCTAGCAGGGCTATAGGGGCAAGTGCTGTTAGCTAGCGAGTAGCAGCAGCAGTGTCTATGTACTACACAAACCACACACACAGAGGCAAAGATACCCCAGGTAGCCTCTAGCAGGTCTGTAGGGGCAAGTGCTGTTAGTAGCGAGTAGCAGCAGCAGTGTCTATGTACTACACATACCACACACACAGACAAAGCTACCCCCAGGTAGCCTCTAGCAGGGCTGTAGGGGCAAGTGCTGTTAGCTAGCGAGTAGCAGCAGCAGTGTCTATGTACTACACACACCACACACACAGACAAAGCTACCCCAGGTAGCCTCTAGCAGGGCTGTAGGGGCAAGTGCTGTCAGTAGCAGCACCTACACACAGACAAAGATCCCCCAGGTAGCCTCTAGCAGGATGTAGGGGCAAGTGCTGTTAGTAATAGCGAGTAGCAGCAGCAGTGTCTATGTACTACACACACCACACACACAGACAAAGCCCCCCAGGTAGCCTCTAGCAGGGCTGTAGGGTCAAGTGCTGTTAGCTAGCGAGTAGCAGCAGCAGTATCTATGTACTACACACACCACACACACAGACAAAGCTCCCCCAGGTAGCCTCTAGCAGGGCTGTAGGGGCAAGTGCTGCTAGCTAGCGAGTAGCAGCAGCAGTGTCTATGTACTACACACACCACACACAGACAAAGCTACCCCAGGTAGCCTTTAGCAGGCTGTAGGGGCAAGTGCTGTTAGCTAGCGAGTAGCAGCAGCAGTGTCTATGTACTAGACACACCATGCACACAGACAAAGCTACCCCCAGGTAGCCTCTAGCAGGGCTGTAGGGGCAAGTGCTGCTAGCTAGCGAGTAGCAGCAGCAGTGTCTATGTACTACACACACCACACACACAGACAAAGCTACCCCAGGTAGCCTCTAGCAGGGCTGTAGGGGCAAGTGCTGTTAGCTAGCGAGTAGCAGCAGCAGTGTCTATGTCCTACACACACCACACACACAGACAAAGCTACCCCAGGTAGCCTTTAGCAGGCTGTAGGGGCAAGTGCTGTTAGTAGTAGCGAGTAGCAGCAGCAGTGTCTATGTACTACACACACCACACACACAGACAAAGCTACCCCAGGTAGCCTCTAGCAGGGCTGTAGGGGCAAGTGCTGTTAGTAGTAGCGAGTAGCAGCACCTACACACAGACAAAGATCCCCCGTGTAGCCTCTAGCAGGCTGTAGGGGCAAGTGCTGTCAGCAGCACCTACACACAGACAAAGCTACCCCAGATAGCCTCTAGCAGGGCTATAGGGGCAAGTGCTGCTAGCTAGCGAGTAGCAGCAGCAGTGTCTATGTACTACACACACCACACACACAGACAAAGCTACCCCCAGGTAGCCTCTAGCAGGGCTGTAGAGGCAAGTGCTGTTAGCTAGCGAGTAGCAGCAGCAGTGTCTATGTACTACACACACCACACACCCAGACAAAGCTATCCCAGGTAGCCTCTAGCAGGGCTGTAGGGGCAAGTGCTGCTAGCTAGCGAGTAGCAGCAGCAGTGTCTATGTACTACACACACCACACACACAGACAAAGCTACCCCAGGTAGCCTCTAGCAAGGCTGTAGGGGCAAGTGCTGTTAGCTAGCGAGTAGCAGCAGCAGTGTCTATGTACTACACACACCACACACAAAGACAAAGCTACCCCCAGGTAGCCTCTAGCAGGGCTGTAGAGGCAAGTGCTGTTAGCTAGCGAGTAGCAGCAGCAGTGTCTATGTACTACACACACCACACACCCAGACAAAGCTATCCCAGGTAGCCTCTAGCAGGGCTGTAGGGGCAAGTGCTGCTAGCTAGCGAGTAGCAGCAGCAGTGTCTATGTACTACACACACCACACACACAGACAAAGCTACCCCAGGTAGCCTCTAGCAAGGCTGTAGGGGCAAGTGCTGTTAGCTAGCGAGTAGCAGCAGCAGTGTCTATGTACTACACACACCACACACAGACAAAGCTACCCCAGGTAGCCTCTAGCAGGGCTGTAGGGGCAAGTGCTGTTAGTAGCGAGTAGCAGCACCTACACACAGACAAAGATCCCCCGTGTAGCCTCTAGCAGGCTGTAGGGGCAAGTGCTGTTAGTAGTAGCGAGTAGCAGCACGTACACACAGACAAAGATCCCCCGTGTAGCCTCTAGCAGGCTGTAGGGGCAAGTGCTGTTAGCTAGCAGCGCTACCTATGAAGGCTACCGGCACTGTAGCACACACAGAGGGGGTGGGTAGCCAGCACCACCACGCCCGGCCGCCTTTGTCTCTCCCAGTGCTAGCGATGTTTACTACACACCGCACCAGGTACTCATTTGAGGCTGAGTCGACCTAGGTGAGGCCCAGGTACCTGTTTAGATAATAGTCGCTGGTGTTGGCCATGAGCGGGAATGGAACCCAGGTCACCAGGTTAGTAGCACTGTGTAGTGCTAACCGCTCCACTACCGCTCTCCATACACACACTCACACACTCACCCACACACTCACCCACACACTCACCCACACACTCACTCACCCACACACTCACCCACACACACACTCACCCACACACTCACCCACACACTCACTCACCCACACACTCACACACACACTCACCCACACACACACTCACTCACCCACACACTCGCCCACACACACACTCACTCACCCACACACTCACCCACACACTCACTCACTCACACACCCACACACTCACTCACTCACACACTCGCCCACACACACACACTCACCCACACACTCACTCACTCACACACTCACTCACCCACACACTCACCCACACACTCACTCACCCACACACTCACTCACCCACACACACACTCACTCACCCACACACTCACCCACACACTCGCCCACACACACACTCACCCACACACTCGCCCACACACATACTCACCCACACACTCACTCACCCACACACTCACCCACACACTCACCCACACACTCACTCACCCACACACTCACCCACACACTCACCCACACACTCACCCACACACTCGCCCACACACTCACCCACACACTCACCCACACACTTACTCACTCACACACTCACCCACTCACTCACCCACACTCACCCACACACTCGCCCACACACACACTCACACACACACTCACCCACTCACTCACCCACACACTCACCCACACACTCACCCACACACTCACCCAGACACTCACTCACTCACCCACACACTCACTCACCCACACACTCACCCACACACTTACTCACTCACACACTCACCCACTCACTCACCCACTCACTCACCCACACACACACTCACCCACACACTCGCCCACACACACACTCACCCACACACACACTCACCCACTCACTCACCCACACACTCACTCACTCACCCACACACTCACTCACCCACACACTCACCCACACACACTCACCCACACACTCACCCACACACTCACTCACCCACACACTCACCCACACACTCACTCACCCACACACTCACTCACCCACACACTCACCCACCCACACACTCACCCACACACACGCTCACCCACACACTCGCCCACACACACACTCACCCACACACTCACCCACACACTCACTCACCCACACACTCACTCACCCACACACTCACCCACACACTCACCCACTCACACACTCACTCACCCACACACTCACCCACACACACACTCACTCACCCACACACTCACCCACACACTCACCCACACACCCACCCACACACATACTCACCCACACACTCACCCACACACTCACTCACCCACACACTCACTCACTCACTCACCCACACACTCACCCACTCACACACTCACCCACACACACACTCACCCACACACACACTCACCCACACACCCACCCACACACTCACCCACACACTCACCCACACACTCACTCACCCACACACTCACCCACCCACACACTCACCCACACACTCACCCACTCACCCACTCACCCACCTACTCACTCACCCACCTACTCACTCACCCACCCACACACTCACTCACTCACCCACACACTCACCCACACACTCACCCACACACTCACTCACCCACACACTTACCCACACACTCACCCATTCACCCACACACACACTCACTCACCCACTCACTCACCCACACACTCACTCACCCACTCACTCACCCACACACTCACTCACCCACATACTCACCCACACACTCACCCACTCACCCACCCACACACTCACTCACCCACACACTCACCCACCCACACACTCACTCACCCACACACTCACTCACCCACACACTCACCCACACACCCACACACTCACCCACACACTCACCCACACACTCACCCACTCACCCACTCACCCACCTACTCACTCACACACTCACCCACACACTCACCCACTCACTCACCCACACACTCACTCACCCACACACTCACTCACCCACACACTCACTCACCCACTCACTCACCCACACACTCACTCACCCACTCACCCACACACTCACTCACCCACACACTCACCCACTCACTCACCCACACACTCACTCACCCACCCACCCACTCACTCAACCACACACTCACCCACTCACTCACCCACTCACTCACCCACTCACTAACCCACCCACCCACTCACTCACCCACTCACTCACCCACTCACTCACCCACTCACCCACACACTCACCCACACACTCACCCACTCACTCACCCACACACTCACTCACCCACTCACTCACCCACTCACCCACACACTCACCCACACACTCACCCACTCACCCACTCACTCACCCACACACTCACCCACACACTCACCCACTCACTCACCCACTCACCCACTCACTCACCCACCCACACACTCACCCACCCACACACTCACACACCCACCCACACACTCACCCACACACTCACCCACACACCCACCCACTCACCCACACACTCACCCACCCATACACTCACCCACACACTCACTCACCCACACACTCACTCACCCACACACTCACTCACCCACACACTCACCCACACACTCACCCACCCACCCACTCACCCACACACCCACACACTCACCCACTGACCCACACACTCACTCACCCACTCACTCACCCACACACTCACCCACTCACCCACACACTCACTTACCCACACACTCACTCACCCACTCACTCACCCACACACTCACCCACACACACTCACTCACCCACACACTCACCCACCCACACACACACTCACCCACACACTCGCCCACACACACACTCACCCACACACTCACTCACCCACACACTCACCCACACACTCACCCACACACCCACTCACCCACACACTCACCCACTCACCCACACACTCACCCACACACTCACCCACACACCCACTCTCTCACTCACTCACACACTCACACACACACTCACCCACACACTCACCCACTCACCCACCCACACACTCACTCACCCACACACTCACCCACCCACCCACTCACCCACACACTCACCCACCCACACACTCACCCACACACTCACCCACACACTCACCCACACACTCACCCACTCACCCACCCACACACTCACCCACCCACTCACCCACTCACTCACCCACTCACTCACCCACTCACTCACCCACACACTCACTCACCCACACACTCACACACTCACCCACACACTCACTCACACACTCACTCACCCACTCACTCACCCAC